AACAATAAAATAATTGCTTAATATCTATACATGTTTAAATTAAAATAATCCTGTCTAGATTGAATTATTTGAAAAATTTACTGAATTTTAGAAAAAGACCTATAAAATGTGTACTAACATTAATCAAATATAAAACTAATTCTATCAAATTAATACAATTATCCAATATTTGACTGAATTATTAAAGGTCAGCTAAAATCAAGCTAATATTCTGACCAAATCTGTAATATAAGCAGCAAATTTAGCAAACATGCCAATTTTTAATTTTTAACGCGTTTTAGTTTGCATTTTCTCTTCGAGACAGGTGGTGTAGTGAGTTGTGAAAGAACGATCGTGTCTATTCAACACAGCAGATTCCAAAACCGTTTATTTTGACTTCGCTCTCATAGTTTTTGCGATATATGTAGGTATAATAAATTTTATTAATTTCCACGTCAGGGACATGGATAATATTAAAATCGTGATCACAATCCCCACAAGAAGGTCTGTTCGATTTCGTTGGCATTCGAACGAAAACTGTTGTGCGCACCACGTGGGATATCTCCAGCCACCATCTTTGATTAATTTGACGCCGTTAAATTAAATTTAAACAGTTGTTTTTTAAGGTTTAAACGCAAATATTTTAAAACTTTAAAAATTATGAATTATAATATAATAATAATTTTGAATTTGACTACCCTATGCTTTTTCAAGTGTTTTCTTAAATAAAATAATGTTAAGCAGATTAAAATATGTTTTAAACAAAAATTAAATCATTTTACATGTTTATTAGAATAACTAAAGTGAAAAATAAAAAACGTAAAAAAACGTTAAAATTATTTTGGGTAGACATTGTCTACCTTGTCTACCCGCACGCTTCGTCACTGATTATTATACAATTATTATTATTATTTCCCAAAATTTTACTAAAGTCAACGTATTGTGTTGTGAGTATTATGGAAGGACCCCTACATAAGGTTCTAAATAAAACATTGTTAATTTTGTATATATATATATATACACATATATTAGGTATCAGTGATATGACCAACATTAAGCATTCTTCCCACTATTTTGGCCTGGTTCAATTCCTTCTAAAGCATCTAAAAAAAACAGGGAATTAAAATGTAATTATTGTAAGAAAATTATAAAAATATACCTACAGTTAATTTTTTTTATTAAGTTGGTAGGTACTTACTTATTTGTTTAATCAAAGATTGAACGAATTGAAGAAGTGAGTTAAGAAAATCAGATACTGGGGACAAAATCTTTCTCATAATACTGTGAAATCCTTCTGTCAACATGTTATCTATATTTAGAAGAGGGTTTGAACATATTACAGCATCCAAAACCACCTGTATAAAATTTTTTAGAAACTTTTATAAATCTACCAACATATTTAATATACAAAGTGTTCCACGGTCACCAGAATATACTTTGAAAATTATAAAAAAAAACAAAACAAAGAATTCGTGGTTTCGATGACCATGGGACACCCTGTATATTGTTTTTACTCACCAAGGCAATTAATAAGAAGAATAATCCTCTCATTTTGATAAAAAAAAAGTTGGTATATACCTTCAAAAATTGACCAACAATAAACCTATTTAAGTTACAAAGGTATTCTTCAAAAATATTTTAATTGCAAAAAACTTGTTAACGTTATCAAATAATTTTAAAAACCTTAAAATCAACATTTTTCGTACTTAATTAAAGTTTTAAAAATGCTAATATAAAAAAACAACTATAATATACTCAATTTTTTTTATTTAAAGGCCAGAACATTTTTATTATGGATTATTATCAACCAGAAGCCGCTGTTGTGGTAGTAGCGGTAGTCGTAGTAGGGGGTTGGGGTCGTGGTCCTAAAATAAAAAAAAAATATTTAATAACCTCACTTTTCATTTGTAACTTGTGTTTTTTAGCTTTTAGCGTTGTTATTGACAATCAGCTTAATTTCGAGATATTTAAAAAAAAAATTTAATAGAAGTTGAAAAAAATGTTTTCTAAATGTAAGAATACCTTTATTCTTAAAAAAATTACTTGATTTAAGTATAATTTGCTCAGGCTACAAATACATTAAATTTATTTTAAATATTCCCTGATAGCACACTTTATTCTAAGAATGTTTTTTAAACCTTCCAGTGAGAATATTCTTATAAGATCCTATAGGATCCTATATATAGGATCATGCTATATTTCTTCTAAAGAACATGCTTAAAAGACATATAGCATGATCCTAAGAATATTCTTACTGTCCTATAGGCAGGTTCTTAGAAGGTGCAAAGTTTTAGTGGTAAAAATTAGTCTACTCTAAACATGTGCTTAGAATGTTAAGAAAGTAATTGCTATAGAAAGTTCATTTAGAAATATTCCTGCTAAGCATATTTAGTTCAGTTACCTATATAATAGTAAAATATACCATAAACTACGTATAAAGGTATATACCTATACTTAAATACCTAATTAGTAATTAGTATTAAATACTAAGTAAAAAACACAATCCAAAATATTTTTTTATAGTTATTTGTCAAATTAAAACAATATTCGATAACAAAAATACTTTTAACATAGGTATTTTATTTTATGTTAAAAATAAATATTTATTAATTTGTATACCGATTTTTTATATCTGAATTAACATTTTTATGTATAATAATCCTAACTATCTTCAACTTCAATCTAATCTGACTTATCCCACAAAATTTTTCAATTTTACTTTTTATGAAATAATGTCATACAACTTATGGTTTAGAGGTCAAATTGTTTATTTAATATTTTTAAATAAATATATATTAATATGTCGCAAAATTTTTTAAGGGGACGACAAATACATTTCACTGTCATATTATGACACTGAGGCGTATTTGTCGTCTCCTGAAGAATTTTACGAATGTAGAATACAACATATTAGAACGTGAGTATCTGACATATTTGGAAATATTCTTAAAAGCTTCCTAGAAGCTCCATAAGAAACCTTTTAAGATCATTCCAAAAACGTATTCTTAAAATGTTCTTGGGATGCTTTTTAGGAAGGTTTTAAGAAGCTTTTAAGAATCTAATTGCATCATTAAAAGGATTTATCTATTGAATGTTTTAAAAGTCCCTAAGAACATTCTTAGCAAAAAGGGATGGTTCTAAGAATATTCCATTATTCCGGGTCATATCTTCTTAGAAGATTCTTAAAATCAAATTTTGCTATCAGGGATGTACTTACCCCTTCCTCTTCCCCCATAACATGCTGCGGTGTGTACATGATTCGGGTCTTGTATATGCCCGATAAGTGAATCTGCCTCAAGGTTTGTTCCTTGCGGCATACCATTAGAATTCATCTATAGATAAAAGAAATAATAACAATTTTGTAAAACGTAACTTTAACGTTAGAATTGAAATTCTTACCACTAAAACTGCACAAAAGACCACGAACAAAGTGAAAAAGTACTTCATGATTATTTACCAAATTTGGGAAATTTAAAATGTGTACAGATTTTTGTATGTTTCAGTATTTATACTAAAAAAAATAATACGGTTCAAATTTAATAAAATTAGGGTTTAATATGTGTGTTAAATGACTATTAAATTATATGTATCTTTTGTTGATTTTGCACACCAGGAATTTTTATATGAGGAAGTCTATTTTATTTTCTATAAAGTCAGGAAATACTTTATGCACATGTCAATTTAAAGGTATAATTTGTTTGGCCAAATTATTAAATAAATTAAAAACTTCAAAACAAAAATTCGTTCAAAAACTTACAATATTGGACAATTTGTTCGGCAGTGAAGCATCACACCACCTAAGATAACCAATGAAATGATTTCCCGCTTGAAATAAGACGCCGGCCGGTCGCTCAACTGCAATTTGTATCATCAGTTTGCAGTTTTAGTTAGTCTTAGGAAGTGTATCATTGTGAGGTTAGTACCACATTTCTGGTGAGTAATTATTGAATATTATTTTTCCTAATAGGTATTTGCAAAATTGGTGATCAAATAAGGATAAAAAGTGTTTCTATGTTCCTACTGTGCTACATTATTGATCAGCTTACTATTTACTTTAGTTTGTAATTTATGTTTTCAGTTTATATTAACTTAATCCTATCCTTACAAAATTTTTGTGTTGGTCGCTGAATACATATTTAATCTATCGACATTTGTATTATTATGAGTGGAGACACAGTTCACGTTGAATTATATCTCAATATTATTAGAATTAGCTATACGAATTTTATTTTTCAGTTTGTAGTTATGTTTTGTTATGTTTATTTTAGGTTGTCAGTGTCAGTTTGTATTAGGTTTAGGTATTCTATTTTCCATATTTTTTGTATAATTCGCTGAATACATAGGTATCTAAATTAATAATTTGTTTCATTTTCGCATCCCAAAAATTATTAAATTTTTAAATAAACATTCAATTTTCTTAGTTTCTTTAAGAAACTTTCTTGACCCATTACTGGTAATATTCATAAGAAAAAATTGAACCTACACCTCGCCAAAGTTTTTTGTTTTGTGTGCGTTCCACCAACTTCAAATACCGACAGACAGCTGTTTCGACCTATGTGGGGTCTCATCAGTGTCGGGCAACTTGGTGTAGTGGAACACACTCAAAACAAAGGACTGCCTGAGCTTATATGCTCGGTTGGTAAGCCAACAGAGGCGAGATGTAAGAACATCACGTGATCCACACCGTCAAACGACGTGGCCTTTGCCGCAATCGGTACATACTATGCAAACAAGACTGCATAATAAACAATATTATTGGGTAACTTCTTGTTGATGAACTTATTTTAACGATTTTACAGATAAGGAAAGCTTTCCACATTCTTCAAGAGAAATTTGAAGCGCTACACACCAAAAAAAGCTTAGCAGAGCAAATGAAGCGTTTTCTTGTGGAATCTTCGGACAGTCAATTTTTACTAGAGAAATTAACGGGCAATGATTCTTTAACATCATCCTCAAGTGATACCGTAGAAAAAAAATAGCAGAAACTGTCGATAAAAAGCATCACAACAAAGATATTGTCCTTTCTAATATCAACAACTGCGTAATTAACTTCCAAACTTGCTCTCAATGTAGCTAAATAATTTGGTATGGTGTGTTCTGGTGTAAAATAAAATAGTAAATATTTGTTTTTCCAAAAAATTTTATTTAGTATTTAACTTATTGAAAACCCTAAGATCCTCCTTATCTTCCTCCTTCATATCTTCATCCCCCCATCCCCATATACAATCCTCATGCTCATGACCAACCGTATCAATATCTTCTTTAACTTGAATCATCCCATCTCCAGTCCTCTTGATTCTTTTCTTTACAATATCGAGGGAGGCCGTTTTTAGGTCGTAAGCCCATCCTATTTTAGCCATTAGATCTATGAAGCCTGTGGACCAGTTGAGTCTGTAGTTTCCTATAGGAAACTACAGACTCAACTGGTCCACAGGCTTCATAGATCTAATGGCTAAAATAGGATGGGCTTACGACCTAAAAACGGCGAAGGTTGGCACAATTACCACCACGCTTTTCCTTGGGACTACAAAACGGCGGAACTATAGTTCCGCCGTTTTGTAGTCCCAAGGAAAAGCGTGGTGGTAATTGTGCCAACCTTCTCCAAAAGCGATAAATGCTACGAGATAGTTTTCAGTCGGTTTTATGCTCCTAAAACAAATAAAACATGTTTAACTTTAAATTGCTCAAGCAGCAACACAAATCTTTAACCCTATCAAATCGTTTGTTTTTACAATACTTGGGGTATAATGTCGTCAACAAAAATTTTTGATATCTAACGAAAAACGCAATTTGACGAAACACTGCAAACAATTGAATCTAGTACATTAAATCTTTTAATAATAACGATGTTGCCGAAATTAACTAAAACGACTGGAGCTGGAGATGTGGAGCTCGTTAAAAACGCAGGAGCATTTTTGTTTGATATGATTTCATGTGATCTTAATGGCAGAGAAGTTGATAGTGTGGGTGATCCAGGTATTGCAAGCACAATAAAAAGATTTTTATGCTATGGTACAAACGATACAGCAAGCATGCAATAAATAACTTACTTATCATAAGGTCTCATTCCCCATATGTGAGCGGCACTATTCACCAACCATGTTCCATTTAATGAATAAGTATAGCGCAAAATCCCTGCAGTGTGCCATGAATTCCACAATGTTTCACCCCAGAAATACCATGGGACAGCTGCTGGTATCAGAAAGGCAAAGGGCATCAAAAACAAGTAATACCTAAAATAATTATAAACATGTTTATAGGAGGCTTTAAATTGTGATCGAAATATCAATGGTTCACAAATTAAAACCTATTGTTAAGTCAAATAAAATGCTTTTTGTAATGATTTGCAAAATTGCTCTATTTTGGTTCAAATATGGCTCCTACTCGAGTTATTATACTTTTTTTGGAACATAACGACTGGGTCTGCCTCCAAATCGCTCAAGTCGATAGTTTTTCCTTTCGTGGAAACATCCTTGTGCTTTTTTATCATCAACCAGCCCATGTGGGAGAAGAAGAATCCTCTTTTGGCGTTATGTGGGTCAGCGTCTGTGTCGGTAAACTTGTGGTGCACCCTGTGGTCTCTCGCCCAATCGTATATGGGGGTTTGAACGGACATGGTTTGCAGAATACAAAGAAATATTCGTAAAGGTAGACGCGCTTTGTATGCTCTGTGAGACCATAATCTATGTGCTCCCGAAGTTATACCCTGTCCAGCGAGAAATACTAGAGCTAGAACTAAAATAATTTTACATAATTAACGCAATTATTGTTTTGCTTGTTTTTTTTCTCACCCCAATATATTGTTTTAATTTTACACGCTGTAACCAATAAATACAACCCGTATATTGCAAAGGGATGCAAATATAGGAATAAAATAACATTTCTCCATACTATTTCCCATTGGTACTGAGGCTGGCTAGGTTGGCTATTTATAAGTTTAGGTTTGGGTGGGTCCACAGGTCTTCCTCTGTATTCTACTGGTTTCACCGGATCCTCCGAGTTGGATAGCACCAAGTCTGCTAAATTTGGTGCCATATCACTAAAATTATATTAATATTAACACCAATAAACACCTTTATATCTTTGGACGTTATCCAAAATAGTTGGATTGGTTTTTCTAATTAGTTTGTTTAAGTAATTTGCACAATATTGTCAAGAAAAGAGTTGAAACCTGTTGTTAAAAATATTTCACAATTGTACAATTTTTTAAATAATTAGTATAAATATAGTATAACTTTGAGTTAGAATATAAATTTTACAATATTGGACAATTGTTCGGGAGTGAAGCATCGCACCACCTAAGATAACCAATGAAATGATTTCCCGCTTGAAATAAGACGCCGGCCGGTCGCTCAACTGCAATCTGCATCATCAGTTTGCAGTTTTAGTTAGTGTTGGCAGGCCCGGCTCCAGACATTGCGGTACCCCGTGCAAAAAAGTTTTGCCGCCCCTCATAGTTACGTACTTTTTAGTGCCCATTAATAAGGTATAATTTCTAAAAAAAACTATAGTACCTATAACTATGGGTATACCTACCCCGCTTAAAATACCCAATAGAGACCATGTTCAAACCGATAGATATTTGTATCGGGATGTATGGTGTTTCTATAGGGTGTATCTGTTTGTATAGGACCCATAGTTGAGATTTATGGTTGTTCTATAGGGATATCCACCCTTGATTTATTTGCTATCGGTTTCAATGGAGAAAATACACATAAATGTATAAATTAGTTTTTCCCCTATAGGACCCCATAGGTTTTAATAAAATTTTGTCAAATGTTTTATGGTTGCTCTATAGGGATATCCCTATATATCCTTCATTGAGTTATTTGCTATCGGTCTCAATAGGGAAAATGTAAAAGTTATGGTGTGCCTATAGGTAATTTCCTATACATTTTCTATCGGGCCGATAGATTATTTTGTATAGGTCTCTATGGGGTATTTTAAGCAGGGTAAATAATATCGTTCCCTTGATGCTACAATTAGATACACTGTTCAAAATTTCATGACCATTTTAACACCAAATTAACACCATACATGGTCTATATCGATACAAACCAAAATGGTGTTAAATATGGTTCGGTGTAATTTCAAATACTAAAATAGTGTAAACCCTGCTTAAAATACCCCATAGAGACCTATACAAAATAATCTATCGGGCGCTACCGGATTCAATATGTGCATTTGTCCATGGTTTTTTCCGGATACGGCCCGATAGAAAATTTATAGGAAATTACCTATAGACACACCATAACTTTTACATTTTCCCTATAGAGGCCGATAGCAAATAATTCAATGAAGGATATATAGGGATATCCCTATAGAACAACCATTAAACATTTGACAAAATTTTATTAAAACCTATGGGGGAAATACTAATTTCTATATTTATGTGTATTTTCCCCATTGAAACCAATAGCAAATAAATCAAGGGTGGATATCCCTATAGAACAACCATAAATCCCAACTATGGGTCCTATACATACCGATACACCCTATAGAAACACCATACATTCCGATACAAATATCTATCGGTTTTAAAAGGGTCTCTATGGGGTATTTTGACGCCGTTCGAATTTTGCCGCTATTCGATTTGTGCACCTCTTTAATTTTTGCCGCCCTTCGATTTTTGCCGCCCCGTGCAGGGGCACGGCTGCACGTACCCTGGAGCCGGCCCTGAGTGTTGGGAAGTGTATCATTGTGAGGTTGGTACCACATTTCTGGTGAGTAATTATTGAATATTATTTTTCCGAATTGGTAGGTAGGTATTTGCAACATTGTTCAGACATTAAGATAAATCAATAATTATGACCTGGTGATCAAATGAGGATAAAGTTGTTTATATGTTCCTACTGTGCTGCATTATTGATCAGCTTACTATTTACTTTAGTTTGTAATTTATGTTTTCAGTTTATATTAACTTAATTCTGTCCTTACAAAATTTTTGTGTTGGTCGCTGAATACATATTTAATCTATCGACATTTGTATACTATTATAAGTGGAGACGCACTTCATGTTGAATTATATCTCAATATTATTGGAATTAGCTATAAGAATTTAATTTTTCAGTTTGTAGTTTATGTTTTCTTATGTTTATTTTATGTTGCCTGTGTCAGTTTATATTAAGTTTAGGTAATCTATCTTTCAGCCGCGTGAATGATAATGACATTAGTAATTTGATTTAATATTTAAAAAAATTATTGTTGATGGACTTTTGGTTTTTTCAATAAATATATGGGTGATTCTACAAAAGTTGGGCAACTTGATGTCATCAGTCAATATTTAATATTTTTTGTAAATATTTTAGTGTATTACAAAAGATCCAGTTTTTTTTTAACTTGTCCACCCACTTTTAAAGTATTTTTTCAAAAGCACGTTTGTAGAAAAACATAATAAATATTCAAAACATCAGTACCTTGGCGTGTCACAACTTCTAAATCAAATATTTGAGTGATTTTATTTTAAAATATATTCAATTTATCTTAAATTTTTCAATTTCACTAAAAACTATAAAACATTAAGTAATGTATTTTTCATATTTTATCATAGATTCGAATAATAGCATTTTTAAAAAAATTGATAATCTTTGTACTCACTTTTACCAGTCAGTTCTGTGTCAAATGTTAAAATTCAAAATTCCTGCGAAATATTCAAGTTTAAACGTCAAGTCCTCGTTTTAACTCAAGTGTTGGTAAAAAATTACCTACAGAGCCCGCCCTTTGCACGACAGTCATCTTGAAAACAATGCAAGCGGCGAAGTTGTGGTGAATTCACGTATAGTTCCAGTCAAAATGTCAGTACTGTGGTGAGTAGTTATTTTCTTACGTATTGTAATTTATATAAGGCTTGATAAGTAGTATCCACTAATAAAAAATATCAGTAAAATACTTAATTCCGAATTATAATCTCAAATTTGTATCCCATTCATCACTACCGTGTCGTCAGTTCCATGTTCGATGTTTCGGTTATCTTTTTTTCGCAAACTTCAATTTAAATTCCGCTTGCGCAGAACTTGTTTATTTAATGTCATTATAAACTCATATAAATTTGGTGTGGGTCCCATATCTAATAATTGAGATATCGGTGTACCCAAAATCCACCAGCCGCCACTGATGTGTGGTATTATTTGATTTTAAGATATTTAATGGATAATATGCTCAAAGTTGAAATAAATCTTATATTTTCCAATAAATTATGTATTTAATTAGTACCCTGGTATACTCGTCACTTCCCTTGCATTAAAATTTAAAAAACACAGATATTTCAGAAACTGTTTACTTACCTAATTTGATTGTAAATAAACTAATGAACCTGACATTTACATAATTGTATTGTTTTCTTTTTAAATTCGCTTTATATACTTACAACATGAAATGGAAGTGGTTGAAGTAATTAGTTGTAGTAGTTAGTCATTAAATACAACCAATACATAGAAATCAATTAACAAATTTTCAATAGCGTACCTATTTATTTATTTTATTTAAAAACATAAAATTTGCATTAACGTTAACAGACTATTAGCAAATTTATTAACAAAAGGTACCTGGACTTCAAACCAAGCTAAATCTTCTAATGCAAACTGTCTGGTTATGAGTTTATGACCCTAGACCAGGTCTAAGGTTATGACGTTATAACGACAATATATTGCTTTCTCAGAAACTTGGCTCACTCATGAATTGTTCTCTGAAGAATTCAACTTTACGAATTATAATATATTCCGATGTCATTAAAACCCACTTCCCAGCACTGCAAAAAAGGGGGTGTTTTGGTAGCAATAAGGAAACATTTTCCAGCATCTATGTTAGCACACAGGAAGGCAAACATGCTAAAGGATTAAGTCAATCGCAAAGTTGGGTAATTAATCAGAATATATCTGTTCTCTAATTCTTTCCAGGTTAGCAAAATAACAACGTGTTAAATGGCTAAATCTGCTTTAAAGTCAGTATTTGGTAAGAGCAGCTGAATCTTCCTTGAAGCCAGCTGCTAATTTTGAACAACCAGACGCGGCGCATATATTTTAGCATAGCACTTTTCACTTGAAGATAGAGTTTCTTCAATCAATGGAATTTGCTTAACTCCATTATTTTCATCCACTTTAGAGAATATGTTTGCTCCATATTCCTCTACTAGAAGGAATTCATGAGTATGAAATAAATAAATAGAATACAAATATCATATCTACAGATGTTTATATATTTTAACAAAGGAAAAAAGCAATAATTAAAAAAATTAGGAACATGCAACTTTTAAAGCTAAATATAATTTGACTGAAATTAAATATAGTTTTTACGCAGTGTTTAACTTGTTGAAAACCCTAAGATCTTCCTTATCTTCCTCCTTCATATCTTCATCCCCCCATCCCCATATACTATCCCCATGCTCATGACCATGAGCATCGACATCTTCTTTAACTTTGATGGTCCCATCCCCACTCCTCTTGATTCTTCTTTTTATGGTATCGAGGGAAGCCGTTTTTAGGTCGTAAGCCCATCCTATTTTATCCATTAGATCTATGAAGCCTGTGGACCAGTTGAGTCCGTAGTTTCCCAGTTCCGCCGCTTTGTAGTCCCAAGGAAAAGCGTGGTGGTAGTTGTGCCAACCTTCTCCAAAAGTCATAAAAGCTACAAAGTAGTTTTCGGTCGGTTTTATGTTCCTAAAACAAATAAAAAATGTTTAACTTTAAATTGCTCAAGCAGCAACACAAATCTTTAACCCTATCAAATCGTTTGTTTTTACAATCCTTGGGGTATAATGTCGTCAACAAAAATGTTTGATATCTAAAGAAAACCGCAATTTGACGAAACACTGCAAAAAATTGAATCTAGTATATTAAATCTTTTAATAATAACGATGTGTCGAAATTAACTAAAACGGCTGGAGCTGGAGATGTGGAGCTCGTTAAAAATGCAGGAGCATTTTTGTTTGATATGATTTCATGTGATCTTAATGGCAAAGAAGTTGATAGTGTGGGTAATCCAGGTATTGCAAGCACAATAAAAGGATTTTTATGCAATAGTACAAACTATACAGCAAGCATGCAATAAATCACTTACTTATCATAAGGTCTCATTCCCCAAATGTGAGCAACACTATTCACCGACCATGTTCCATTTATTAGAAGTGTATAGCGAAAAATTCCTGCAGCATGCCATGAATTCCACAACGTTTCACCCCAGAAATACCATGGAACGGCTGTTGGTATCAGAAAGGCAATGGGCATCAAAATCAAGTAATACCTAAAATAATTATAAACATGTTTATAGGATGCTTTAAATTGTGATCGAAATATCAATGGTACACAAATTAAAACCTATTGTTAAGTCAAATAAAATGCTTTTTGTAATGATTTGCAAAATTTTTCTATTTTTCGATTTTGGTTCAAATATAGCTCCTACTCGAGTTATTATACTTTTTTTGGAACATAACGACTGGGTCTGCCTCCAAATCGCTCAAGTCGATAGTTTTTCCTTTCGTGGCAACATCCTTGTGCTTTTTTATCATCAACCAGCCCATGTGGGAGAAGAAGAATCCTCTTTTGGCGTTATGTGGGTCAGCGTCTGTGTCGGTAAACTTGTGGTGCACCCTGTGGTCTCTCGCCCAATCGTATATGGGGGTTTGAACGGACATGGTTTGCAGAATACAAAGAAATATTCGTAAAGGTAGACGCGCTTTGTATGCTCTGTGAGACCATAATCTATGTGCTCCCGAAGTAATACCCTGTCCAGCGAGAAATATTAGAGGTAGAACTAAAATAATTTTACATAATTAATGCAAATATTGTTTTGCTTGTTTTTTTTCTCACCCCAGCATATTGTTTTAATTTTACACGCTGTAACCAATAAATACAACCCGTATATTGCAAAGGGATGCAAATATAGGAATAAAATAACATTTCTCCATACTATTTCCCATTGGTACTGAGGTTGGCTAGGTTGGCTATTTATAAGTTTAGGTTTGGCTGGGTCCACAGGTCTTCCTCTGTACTCTACTGCTTTCATCGGATCTTCCGAGTTGGAAAGCTCAACGTCTTTTAAATTTGGTGCCATCACTAAAATTATATTAATATTAACACCAATAAACGCTTTTAATTTTGGACGACCAACTGGACGACTTACCCCTAAATTACCTTACGAGATGATTTTTTGGCCAACTAGTAAATTTGGTGATAAATGGATTGAACGCAATGGTCCAGTTTCATGGCCTGTAAGAAGCCCCGATCTAAGCATCTGCGATTAAAACAAATTAAAATCAGTGGCGTGCCAAATTTCTTCTTAAAAATAACAACCAGGAGGCCAATGGAATAAATAATTAAATTTAAATCAAGTTGTTTTCTTATTTTCATGCATTGACATTAGTAATTTCTTTTGATAATCAAAAAATAAAATTCACAATAAATATACACGACTGTCAATTTAAAAAATAATATTATTTATTTACTTACCTAATTTACTTTTTAAAAAAACTGATCTTTACAGAATTGAATTGTTTTTTTTAAATCGCTTTATATACTTACAACATGCAAAGAAAAAAATAAGACGTGGAAGGGGTTGAAGTAATTAAAAAGTCATTAAATACAACCAATACTTAGAAAACAATTAAGAAATTTTCAATAGCTTTTTTATTTATTTTTTTTCAAAACATAAAATTTGCATTAATTTTACAGACCATTATCAAATAAAAAATATATATACAGGGTTCACCAAGTACCCTTTTTATATAAAAATCTACAAGGTCGGTTAAATTTAAAAAAAATGCATTCAGAAAAGCAGTAAATCACAGGAAGGCAAACATGCTAAAGGATTAAGTCAATCACAAAGTTGGATAAAATAATCAGAATATATCTGTTCTCTAATTCTTTTCAGATTAGCAAAATAACAACATGTTAAATGGCTAAATCTGCTTTAAAGTCAGTATTTGGTAAGAGCAGCTGAATCTTCCTTGAAGCCAGCTGCTAATTTGAACAACCTGACGCGTGCAGATATATATTAGCATAGCACTTTTCACTTGAAGATAGAGTTTCTTCATTCAATGGAATTTGCTTAACTCCATTATTTTCATCCACCTTAAAGAATATGTTTGCTCCATCTTCCTCTACTAGAAGGAATTCATGAGTATGAAATAAATAAAAAGAATACAAATATCATATCTACAGATGTTTATATATGTTAACAAAGGAAAAAAGCAATAATTAAAAGAATTAGGAACATGCAACTTTTAAAGCTAATAAAATATAATTTGACTGAAATTAAAAATAGTTTTTACGCAGTGTTTAACTTGTTGAAAACCCTAAGATCCTCCTTATCTTCCTCCTTCATATCTTTATCCCCCCATCCCCATATACTATCCCCATGCTCATGACCATGAGCATTGACATCTTCTTTAACTTTAATGGTCCCATCCCCAGTCCTCTTGATTCTTCTTTTTATGATATCGAGGGAGGCCGTTTTTAGGTCGTAAGCCCATCCTATTTTAGCCATTAGATCTATGAAGCCTGTGGACCAGTTGAGTCTGTAGTTTCCTAGCTCAGACGTTTTGTAGTCCCAAGGAAAAGCGTGGTGGTAATTGTGCCAACCTTCTCCAAAAGCGATAAATGCTACCATGTAGTTTTCAGTCGGTTTTATGCTCCTAAAACAAATAAACAATGTTTAACTTTAAATTGGCCAAGCAGCAACAAAAATTTTTAACCCTATCAAATCGTTTGTTTTTACAATCCTTGGGGTATAATGTCGTCATCAAAAATGTTTGATATCTAAGGAAAAAAATTGAATCTAGTACATTAAATCTTTTACTAATAACGATGTTGTCGAAATTACCTAAAACGGCTGGAGCTGGAGATGTAGAGTTCGTTAAAAACGCAGGAGCCTTTTTGTTTGATATGATTTCATATGATCTTAATGTCAAAGAAGTTGATAGTGTGGGTAATCCAGGTATTGCAAGCACAATAAAAGGATTGTTATGCTATGGTACAAACGATACAGCAAGCATGCAATAAATCACTTACTTATCATAAGGTCTCATTCCCCATATGTGAGCGGCACTATTCACCAACCATGTTCCATTTAATGAATAAGTATAGCGCAAAATTCCTGCAGCATGCCATGAATTCCACAACGTTTCACCCCAGAAATACCATGGAACGGCTGTTGGTATCAGAAAGGCAATGGGCATCAAAATCAAGTAATACCTAAAATAATTATAAACATGTTTGTAAGATGCTTTAAATTGTGATCGAAATATCAATGGTTTACAAATTAAAACCTATTGTTAAGTCAAATAAAATGCTTTTGGTAATGATTTGCAAAATTTTTCTATTTTTCGATTTTGGTTCAAATATGGCTCCTACTCAAGTTATTATACTTTTTTTGGAACATAATGACTGGGTCTGCCTCCAAATCGCTCAAGTCGATAGTTTTTCCTTTTGTGGCAACATCCTTGTGTTTTTTTATCATCAACCAGCCCATGTGGGAGAAAAAGAATCCTCTTTTGGCGTTATGCGGGTCAGCGTCTGTGTCGGTAAACTTGTGGTGCACCCTGTGGTCTCTCGCCCAATCGTATATGGGGGTTTGAACGGACATGGTTTGCAGAATACAAAGAAATATTCGTAAAGGTAGACGCGCTTTGTATGCTTTGTGAGACCATAACCTATGTGCTCCTGAAGTTATACCCTGTCCAGCGAGAAATATTAGAACTAGAACTAAAATATTTTTACATAATTAATGCAATTATTGTTTTGCTTGTTTTTTTTTCTCACCCCAACATATTGTTTTAATTTTACACGCTGTAACCAATAAATACAACCCGTATATTGCAAAGGGATGCAAATACAGGAATAAAATAACATTTCTCCATACTATTTTCCATTGGTACTGAGGCTGGCTAGGTTGGCCATTTATAATTTTAGGTTTGGGTGGGTCCACAGGTCTACCTCTGTATTCTACTGCTTTCATCGGATCTTCCGAGTTGGAAAGCTCCACATCTTTTAAATTTGGTGCCATCACTAAAATTATATTAATATTAGCACCAATAAACGCTTTTAATTTTGGACGACAAACTGGACGACTTACCCCTAAATTACCTTACGAGATGATTTTTTGGCTAACTAACAAATTTGGTGATAAATGGATTGAACGCAATGGTCCAGTTTCATGGCCTGTAAGAAGCCCCGATCTAAGCATCTGAGATTAAAACAAATTAAAATCAGTGGCGTGCCATATTTCTTCTCAAAAATAACAGCCGGGACGCCAATGGAATAAATAATAAAATTTAAATCAAGTTGTTTTCTTATTTTCATGCATTGACATTAGTAATTTCTTTTGATATTCAAAAAAATAAAATTAACAATAAATATACACGACTGGCAAATTTAAAAATATTATTATTTATTTACGTACCCAATTTGCTTTTAAAAAAACTTTATGAACCTGATCTTTACAGAATTGAATTGTTCTTTTTTAAATCGCTTTATATACTTACAACATGCAAAGAAAAAATAAGATGTGGAAGGGGTTGAAGTAATTAAAAAGCCATTAAATACAACCAATATTTAGAAAACAATTAAGAAATTTTCAATAGCTTTTTTATTTATTTTTTTTCAAAACAAAAAATTTGCATTAATTTTACAGACCATTATCAAATAAAAAATATATATACAGGGTTCACCAAGTACCCTTTTTTATATAAAAATCTACAAGGTCGGGTAATTAAAAAAAAATTGTTTTGTTTGTATATGCTAAAATATTAAGTCAATCGCAAAGTTGGATAAAATAATCAGAATATATCTGTTCTCTAATTCTTTCCAGGTTAGCAAAATAACAACATGTTAAATGGCTAAATCTGCTTTAAAGTCAGTATTTGGTAAGAGCAGCTGAATCTTCCTTGAAGCCAGCTGCTAATTTTGAACAACCAGACGCGGCGGATATATTTTAGCATAGCGCTTTTCACTTGAAGATAGAGTTTCTTCATTCAATGGAATTTGCTTAACTCCATTATTTTCATCCACTTTAGAGAATATGTTTGCTGCATATTCCTTTACTAGTAGGAATTCATGAGTATGAAATAAATAAATAGAATACAAATATCATATCTACAGATGTTTATATATATTAACAAAGGAAAAAAGCAATAATTAAAAGAATTAGGAACATGTAACTTTTATAGCTAATAAAATATAATTTGACTGAAATTAAAAATAGTTTTTACGCAGTGTTTAACTTGTTGAAAACCCTAAGATCCTCCTTATCTTCTTCCTTCATATCTTCATCCCCCCATCCCCATATACTATCCCCATGCTCATGACCATACGCATCGACATCTTCTTTAACTTTAATGGTCCCATCCCCAGTCCTCTTGATTCTTCTTTTTATGATATCGAGGGAGGCCGTTTTTAGGTCGTAAGCCCATCCTATTTTAGCCATTAGATCTATGAAGCCTGTGGACCAGTTGAGTCCGTAGTTTCCCAGTTCCGCCGCTTTGTAGTCCCACGGAAAAGCGTGGTGGTAGTTGTGCCAACCTTCTCCGAAAGCGACAAACGCTACAAGGTAGTTTTCGGTCGGTTTTATGTTCCTAAAACAAATATAAAATGTTTAGCTTCAAATTGCTCAAGCAGCAACACAAATCTTTAACCCTATCAAACCGTTTGCTTTTACAATCCTTGGGGTATAATGTCGCCAACAAAAATGTTTGATATAATATATTACATATATTATATATTACATATTATGTAAATGTTTGATATAATATATTACATATATTATATATTACATATTATGTCGAAAACCGCAATTTGACGAAACACTGCACAAAATTGAGTCTAGTACATTAAATCTTTTAATAATAACGATGTTGCCGAAATTAACTAAAACGGCTGGGGCTGGAGATGTGGAGCTCGTTAAAAACGCAGGAGCATTTTTGTTTGATATGATTTCGTATGATCTTAATGGCAAAGAAGTTGATAGTGTGGGTGATCCAGGTATTGCAAGCACAATAAAATGACTTTTATGCTATAGTACAAACGATACAGCAAGCATGCAATAAATCACTTACTTATCATAAGGCCTCATTCCAAAAATGTGTGCGGCACTGTTAATGGACCATGTTCCATTTACTGACAGTGCACAACGTAAAACTACTGCAGCATGCCATGAATTCCACAATGTTTCACCCCAGAAATACCATGGTACGGCTGCTGGCATAAAAAAACAGACCAAGTACATCAAAATCAAGTAATGCCTGAAATAAAAGTATGGGTTTAAAGCAATTTTACAAATATTTTTAACAGTGTAATGCAACAATGACGGATAGGCCGCCAAGATCGCCGGATCTAAGTACTATTATACTTTTTTTGAAACATGACGACTGGGTCTGCCTCTACATCGCTCAAGTCGATTGTTTTTCCTTTTGCTAAAACATCCTGGTGCTTTCTTAGCAATAACCAGCCCACATGGGAGAAGAAGAATCCTCTTGTGGAGTTGTGTGGATCAGCGTCTGTGTCGACATGCTTGTGATGCACCCTGTGGTCTCTCACCCATTCGTGTATGTGATTTTGAAAAGCAAGGGTTTGCAGAAAACACAGAAGTATTCGTAAAGGTAGTCGCGCTTTATAAGCTCTGTGAGACCATAATCTATGTGCTCCGGAAGTAACACCTTGTCCACCAAGAATCAATAGAGCTAGAGCTAAAATGATTTTTATAGTTAACGCAATACTTGTTGTTTTTTTCTTACACCAATATATTGTTTTGATTTTACACGCTGTAACCAATAAATACAGCCCATAAACTGCGAATACATGCAAATAAATACACAAAATAACATTTCTCCAAACTATTTTCCATTCGTACTTAGGCTGGCTAGGTTTGCTATTTATAATTTTAGGTTTGTGAGGGTCCACAGGTCTTCCTCTGTATTCTACAGCTTCAACTGAATCTGCTGGGTTAGAGAGCACCATGTCTTTTAAATTTGGTGCCATATCACTAAAATTACATCAATATTAACTAACATCAATAATCACTTTTAATTTAAGCCAACACGGAAAGAAATTTTATGATAAAGTAAATCAAATCCATTTATTTATTTAAGAAAAGCCAAAATTTATCGTTTAAGTGCTAAATCGAATACATTTTTTTCTAGGAACAGCAAAGTTAAGATTGGTCACAGAAAAAGTTTTTCTTAAACCAATCAAACATTAAGATTGGCTTTATGTAACGTTAAGCTTAATTTTCAAAGAAAAGATTGATAAGATCAACTCTTGGATTTTATTATTATATTCCTATTTGGATTAATTTTATCAAATAATATTTAAATAAAAACTAAATTGATTTAACTTTATTTTTACTAGTATTAGTAGTATCAAAAGTTGGATAGAATAAGTTTTATATTTGATTAATGTTAGTACACATTTTATAGGTATTTTTCTAAAATTCAGTCAATGTTTCTAATAATTTCATCTAGACAGGATTATTTTAATTTAAACATATTCCAAATATATTTGGAATAAAACAATAAAATAATTGCTTAATATCTATACATATTTAAATTAAAATAATCCTGTCTAGATTGAATTATTTAAAAACTTTACTGAATTTTAGAAAAATAAATGTGTACTAACATTAATCAAATATAAAACTAATTCTATCAAATTTTTAATACGATTATCCAATATTTGACTGAATTAATAAAAGTCAGCTAAAATCAAGCTAATATTTTGACCAAATCTGTAATATAAGCAACAAATTTAGCAAACATGCCAATTTTTTATTTTTAACGCGTTTTAGTTTCTCTTCGAGACAGGTGGTGTAGTAAATTGTGAAAGAACGATCGTGTCTATTCAACACAGCAGATTCCAAAACGTTTATTTTGACTGCGCTCTCATAGTTTTTGCGATATATGTAGGACCTACATATATGTAGGACCTACATTGTAGGACCTACATTGTAGGTATAATAAATTTTATTAATTTTCACGTTTTTGGTTATTAAGAGTAATATAGGTATGTTCCTACCAAGCATTTTCACTGTCAAGTAGACGTCAGGGACATGGATAATATTAAAATCGTGATCACAATCCACACAAGGTCTGTTCGATTTCGTTGGCATTCGAACGAAAACTGTTGTGCGCACCACGTGGGATATCTCCAGCCACCATCTTTGATTAATTTGACGCCGTTAAATTAAATTTAAACAGTTGTTTTTTAAGGTTTTAAACGCAAATATTTTAAAACTTTAAAAATTATACATTATATTAGTCAATTAAACATAAAAAACACTCGTTAAACTAAACCATTATTGAGTTATTTTTTTGTATTTTGAACCTATAGATTATTATTTTATTGAGTTATTTTTTATAAAAGTTTGTAAGCTAAAATAAATGAATATTTATTAAACACAAAATTTAGTATATATACTTTACCTACCCCACTATCACAGCTTATTACGAAGATCAATATTCCAGTCAATAATCAAATATTGAATTGATTAAAATAATACAATTTTTGATAAATTCAATATATTTTTTACTAACTATTTAGATAAATTTTGCACGAATCAATCAAATGATCTGATAAACTTTATCCTAATTATTCTTAATTTTGCCAAACTACTATTAAAAAAATAGATTAAACTGACCTAAAAAGTGCTTAATTGAATCCAAGAATTGGTAAATTTAAGAAAATATTATGTGGATTCTAGAAAATCGTAGGCGAATTAAATTTAATTTTCACTATAATTATTTTAAATTTTGTAGTGATTTATAAAACTTTTTGGTGCTATTTATCACGGTTTGATACATTTAAGCCTAGCAAATAATTCAATCGAATGAATTATTGATTTTAGTCTAAATTTGGATGGGCGCTAGATTGATTAAAAATTTGATTGTAATTATAATTGTATACAACCTTACTGCATTTATTGTATTCATAATTAAAAATATGAAAAATTGATTGTAATTTTAAAATTGGTGGTTTTTTGTTTTGTCGAAAAATAATAATTATAATGATTAGTAAAATAACTTCACCAATTATTGTTTTTTTATTTCTTCCTGTAATTTTCCAGCACCTATAAAATGACACAATTTTCATCACGCATCAAAATATATTTTATAGCCAAAATCAAGGTCTACAAAAATGAACATTTTTAGTATGTTGTTTATATTGGTAATCACTATTTTTGCTGTAAGTATCTAACCTCTAATTAATTCAATAATTGTACTAATTTGTCACCTAATTAATGATATGTTTTTAATACTTAATTACTAATTAACAGGTACAAACTTTTGTGGTGGATCCGGCTACAATTACGAATAAACAAAGATCAACTGGGTTGACAGAAATAGATGCAATGTCCAAAAAAGAATGTCATGGAAGAGGTAAAAAAAATATGTTAACTTTTTATTTAATAATATATACTAGGTTTGTTCAGAAAATATCGGGAATTTTCGTTTTTTGAAACAAATATTTATTTATTCGTCTACATTAATGTTGTCTCCTTAAAAATAGTCCCCATTGGATATTATGCACATGTGCCAGCTCTTCTTCCAATACTCGAAACACTTCTAAAACTCGATCTTTGGGATAGCCTTTAGTTCTTTCAGCGATGCGCTTTTAATGTCATCTATGCTTGCAAAACGACGGCCCTTTAAGGTTCTCTTTATTTTTGGGAATAGGAAAAAGTCAGACAGAGGCTTGTCTGGCGAATATGGAGGCTGGGGCATCATTACAGTATTGTTTTTGGCCAAAAATTTTGTTCAAAATTTAACAATTTTAGAACAAATTTTGCTGCCACGCGTTTCATACCCAAAACATTCTAAAAAATTCCATGGGATGAGCCAATCGATATACCAACATCATCAGCGACTTCTCTGATGGTTTATAACCATTTATTCCACTTTTTCCATGTTTTTATCGGTTGTTAATGTGCTTGTGCGTTCGGGGCGTTCAGTCCATGTCTGACGGTGCAATTTCTCGCGGCGACTTTGTTGCGGCGACTAGTTGCAGCGACTTTCTCGCCTCTATGGTGTTCACACGGTGCAACCAAACTGACGTTATTTTCTACTAGGATTGCCAACATAACCGAAAATTACTTAGTTGAAAAATAAAAATACCTAAACAAATTTAATGTTTATTTAAATCGATTTTGTTTTTTTTTAAAGTTATAAGTATTTTGTTGTGGAAAAATAAAAACACTCAGATTAAAGCACACGCAAATCACATCTGTCATTCCACAGCTGATAAATATTGAGTACCAACCAAAAAATTTAGTGAAAATTCGTAAAACCCTAAAAAAGTTACTAAGTCGCGGCGATTTTATTGCATGAAAATAGAACATGTTCTATTTTGAGACAGGTTAGATCAGCTGATTAGTTGCATCGTGTGACCACCAAAAAATCGCGGCGACCTAGTCGCCGCAACAAAATCGCCGCGAGAAGTTGCACCGTCAGACATGGACTTTCGTCATCTTCAACGTCTTCACGGCCATTTTGGAAACTCTTATACCACTTGTAAACTCTTGTTTTACTTATAGCAGACTCACTATAGGCCTTTGTTAACATTTCACAGAATTTATTTCATTTTTTAATCCATTTCTTTTAACGAACGAAAAATCGCCGAGCTCATAAAACACGTCTAACCTTAGCGGCTGCCACATACAAAGTAAACAATGAAAACAGTTAAAGTTTATATCATACTTCGGGGGCATGTGTACCAACATAATAAAGAAAATTTTATGACAACCGGACCCTCCGAACCCGCGAAATTTATTATTTCCCGTTATTTTCTGAACACACCTCGTAAAAATGAAAATAAAATCGTCTCGTTTAGTCAAAAACACTATTTTTATATTTATTTCTTGGCTAAAAAAAACAGAACTTTTTTAGAAAAATAATGAATCGTATAGGTGATTCACCCTGTATATATCTCAATTAATAAAGGGACCTAATTTGTCGTTGTTTATGAATTTTTAATATTTTAGCTCGATCTCGTGGGCAAGCCCCCTCTACCACTACAGAGGCAGACGCTGAACAAGTATAAAACAATATTCCTTAAAATGTATTTAGTTAAAATAAAAAATACCTAATATCTGACATATTTTTATTTATTTAAAAATTATAATTAATATTTTTTGTAAATATTTTAGTATATTACAAAAGATCCAGGTTTTTTAAACTTGTCCACCCAACTTTGGAGTGCCACAACAAATATTTGAGTGATTTTATTTTAAAATATATTCAATTTATCTTTAATTTTTTAATTTCACTACAAACTATAAAACATTAAATAATTTATTCTTCATATTTTATCATAGATCCGAATAATAGCAATTTTTAAAAAATTGATAATCTTTGTACTCACTTTTACCCGTCAGTTCTGTGTCCAATGTTAAAATTCAAAATTCCTGCGAAATATTGAAGTTTAAACGTCAAGTCCTCGTTTTAACTCAAGTGTTGGTAAAAAATTACGAATCTAGCATACAACATATTAGAACGTGGGTATCTGACATATTTGGAAATATTCTCAAAAGCTTCCTAGAAGCTCCATAAGAAACCTTCTAAGAACATTCCAAAAACGTATTCTTAAAATGTTCTTAGGATGCTTTTTAGGAAGGTTTTAAGAAGCTTTTAAGAATCTAATTGCATCATTAAAAGGGCATCTATTGAATGTTTTAAAAGTCCCTAAGAACATTCTTAGCAATAATAAACCTTAAGGTTTTAAGAATATTTCATTATAATATATATATTCCGGGTCATAGTTTTTTTAGGATTTAGTTTAAATTATATTGTAATATTAAGAATTTTTAAATTAAAATATTTTCTTAACAATTGTCATTAAATTATCATTTTATCATTTATTTTTCCATATTTTGTACTATTGCACCTAACGAAGGTCGTTTTTATTATTTAAATAATTATTATAACCTATGTCGAATTATGTAATATATTATAAAATACAAAAAAAAATGATTAATAATCCAGATAAAAATTAATCTACTTTAGGCGCGTCATTATGAGATACAGGGTGTCTCCGATATCCATTACAAAATTTAAAAGCAAATTGTAAAAAAAACGAAAAAAATTATTTAATGTTTTACTTTATTTTTCTCACTATGTTTAAATGCATGTTTTTGAATTTGTTCGTAATTACAAAAAATCGCTTAATTTCGTTGTTAATGATCATTTTGTTTTAATGGTTTAACCATTGTTCTATTAATAGTTTGCCCAACAAATACCTAAACAAATGAAGTACTATGTATGTACTATGTACCGTAGACTTTAATTATGATTATGAGGTACATAGGTAAAATTTGTTTTTAATTACCAACGTTTGAACATTTTTATTGAACATTGGTACGTACATTTATATATAATAAATGAGGAACTACCAAGTTATTTATGTATAAATAAAACAAAATTAAGGTGGGGGATACATCCATCGTCAAAACTAGTTTTTTTCTTTTCATCTATTTATGTAATTTGTTGGGTTTTATTCAGTTAGTTATCGTCGTTATAATTCAATTTATAGTTTGTTGTTTGGTTATATAGTGGTAGTGAGCGTTTTTGTTTTTCACTATGGCTGACAAGATCATTGATGTTGACACAATTTTAAAAAATGACCCGAATATAAAACAGGAGGATATAAAGAGCATGCGAGAATGGTTGGAGAAACAACCGCATTTGCCGGAAATAACAGGTACATACATAAAAAAATTTACAGACAGTTTTAACTATAAATATATAAATTGTATTACAAAACATTAAAACAAAATAATACCTATTAAAATAAAAAATACAAGGACCATTATGCAAAAGCAATAAATAAATAAATTTAATCAATTAAATGTATTTAATTTAAATGTAATACGTTATACATTTTAATTTATTTTTAAGTTTAATACGAATTAACTACTATGGCAGATTCGCCACTTTTAAAACCAGGGCAGTTTTCAACTATCCAATTTTGTTCAAATATGGGCAGTTTACAATGCCCGGTTTTAATTTAATTACATTTACCTTCATCCAATTTTGTTGAGAAATTGGGCATTTTAAATTACTCTAAACATCTGTATTTTCTAAAATATGTCACTTTTGACATCTGTCATTTTCAATTTTCAATTATCCGAAGCATTAATTCTAATGAGCAGTTTTCAATCACCCGGTTTTAAATAAACTAAATGGTGGGCAGTTTTCAATTATCCGATTTTGCTCAAATCCAAGTTTGCAATCGATAATGCGCAGTTTACAATGACCCGGTTTTAAATTAATTACATTAACCTTCATCAAATTTTGTTGAGAAGTTGGGCATTTTAAATTACTTTAAACATCTGTATTTTTTAAAATATGTCACTTTTGACATCTGTCATTTTCAATTTTTCAATTTTCAATTATCCGAAACATTAATTCCAATGAGCAGTTTTCAATCACCCGGTTTTAAATAAACTAAATGGTGGGGCAGTTTTCAATTTTCCGATTTTGTTCAAATCCAAGTTTGCAATCAATAATGCGCAGTTTACAATGACCCGGTTTTAAGTAAATTAAATTTGCCGTTATAAAATTTTATTGAGAATTAGGGGAGTTTTCAATTACTGCCGTCGTTTTTATCACATGTTATTTTTAATATTTTACACAGGTGTCAAAAATGACAAGTGGCAAATTCAATTCTACAATTTTTTCGAATTTGGGCAGTTCCATCCATCCACCCAAAACATTAATTTTTTAGTTTTCAATCATTTAGTTTTAAATAAATTAAATGGGAATAGGATATTAAGAGCATGCGAGAATGGTTGGAGAAACAACCGCATTTACCGGAAATAACATAAAAAAATTTACAGACAGTTTTAACTATAAATATATAAATTGTATTACAAAACATTAAAACAAAATAATACCTATTAAAATAAAAAATACAAGGACCATTACCTATGCAAAAGCAATAAATAAATAAATTTAATCAATTAAATTTAATTTAAATGTAATACGTTATCCGTTATTTTAATTTAATTTTAAGTTTTTTAAGATTCGCCATTTTTAAAACCAGGGCAGTTTTCAATTATCCAATTTTGTTCAAATTGGGGCAGTTTACAATAACCCGGTTTTAAATTAATTACATTTACCTTCATCCAATTTTGTTGAGAATTTGGGCATTTTAAATAACTCGAAACATCTGTAATTTCTAAAATATGTCACTTTTGACATCTGTCATTTTCAATTTTCAATTATCCGAAACATGAATTCCAATGATCAGTTTTCAATCACCCGGTTTTAAATAAATTAAATGGTGGGGCAGTTTTCAATTATCCAATTTTGTTGGAATTGAGCAGTTTACAATCACCCGAAACATTAATTTCAATGCGATTTCAATTACCCGGTTTTAAATAAATTAAATTTAGCATTATATCAATTACCCAATTATTTTTTACATCTGTTATTTTTGACATCTGTGATTTTTAACATCTGTCATTTTTGATATCTCGCTTTTTCAATATTTCTATAGTATCTGAAGAGTTTGATAAAAAAATACCGGTAGGCCGTGACAGCAAATTAAGCGGTGCCAATGTAGTAAAAATAAAACGTATTTTAATAATTCGTCACCTGAGAATTATAGTGTTCTATCTGCATTTTCTTTTTTTTATTCAGGTTAGTCTTGTTTTAAGTATTAAAGATGCATATTGTTCTAGCTATATATAATTGGGGTAGAAATTGTACAGTTTAAACCTTAAACTTTACAATTTCTACCCCAATTATACTCGTATATAGATAGATCAATATCATCTTTAAGACTTAAAACAAGACTAACCTGAATAAAAAAAAGAAAATGCAGATAGAACACTATAATTCTCAGGTGACGAATTATTTAATTATTAATTAACAAATTATCAAATTATTACAAATTATTGTATGATTTAAAAACTACATCAAAAGTAAATACCTAATCAACGAAATAAATTGTTGCATGTTTTTTTTAACAAATTAGGACTTAATTAAAAGCGGTGCCAATGTAGTAAAAATAAAACGCATTTTAATAATTATTTAATTATTAATTAACAAATTAACAAATTATTACAAATTAATGTTTGATTAAAAAACTACATCAAAAGTAAATACCTAATCAACGAAATAAATTGTTGCATGTTTTTTTTAACAAATTAGGACTTAATTACAAATTAAAGTATCATTAAAAAACTGAGAGTTGCATAAAAAGTAAATAATCAACAAAATAAATTGTTAATTTGTTGTTAAAATTGCAAAATAAAGGTTTAAAATTGTAATATTTTTGTGTTTATATGGTTGGCCGCAAAAAATTTTGAAATGACAATTTTAAACTAAAAGTTCCATAAAAAATATAGGTACTGTAATTAATTTCAAAACTTGAGAAACAAAATAGCTTAAAAATTGATTATAACTTTAAAAATTATTTTCTTGGATACTGTGCTTTAAAAAAATGCAGATACTACCCAAGTTAAGAAAATAGAAAACAAAACTTACCTCCTGGTAAATAGTAACTATCAACTGTTAATATAACACAAACACTACAGGCTAATATATATATATACTCGTAATACTAAATATTTAAATTAAATTAGCCAAAAATTTTATACAATAGTTTAATTGAAAACCAAATTTATTTAAAAAAAAAACAAAACGCAAACATAGACAATTGTCTATTAATAGACAATATACAGAAAGGACCAGGTAAAACGTCATTAAATATAGGGATTGATAGAGAATCAAAAATGAAGGGAACTTTTCCAGAAAAGATATTTAAGACATGCCTTCAAAGTTGGAAATAAATAATCGTGTTTTGATTTCTGATTCTCCATCACCATTTTTTTATTTGGGCAATGTTCGATTACCTGAAACATTTATTCTAATGAGCAGTTTTCAATTACCCACCTTTAAATAAATTAAATGGTAGGGCAGTTTTCAATTATCCAATTTTGTTCGTATTGGAGCAGTTTACAATCACCCGAAGTATTTCTTTTAATGTGCAGTTTTCAATTACCCGGTTTTAAATAAATAAAATTCTCAATAACCCAATTTTGTTGAGACTTTGGGCAGTTTTCAATTACTTGAAACAACTGTCATTTTACATTTGTCAATTCTAAAATATGTCATTTTTACATCTGTTATTTTTGACATCTGTCATTTTAGATTTTGTAACATTTTAATGAACAGTTTTCAATTACCCGGCTTTAAATAAATTAAATGGTAGGGCAGTTTGCAATTATCCAATTTTGTTCGAATTTGAGCAATTTACAATCACCCGAAACATTTATTATTTTGATGTGCAGTTTTCAATCAAACCTTAATTCTAATGAGCAGTTTTCAATTACCCCGCTTTAAATAAATTAAATGGTGGGTTAGTTTTCAATTATCTAATTTTTTCGAATTTGGGCAATTTTCAATTATTCAAAACATTAATTTTGATGAGCAGTTTTCAATAACCCGGCTTTAAATAAATTATATGGTAGGGCAGTTTTCAATTATCCAATTTTGTTCGAATTGATCAATTTACAATCATCCAAAATATTTATTTTAATGTGCAGTTATCAATTACCCGGTTTTAAATAAATTAAATTTTCAATAACGCAATTTTGTTGATAATTTGAGCAGTTTACAATCACCTGAAACATTTGTTTTAATGTGCAGTTTTCAATTAGGCATCTGGTCAGGGCAATTTTTGATTACGCAATTTTTTAACTACCCGAAATGTCATTTTTGAAATCTGTCATTTTTTAAATCCGTTATTTTGACATCTTTTTGACAGGTGTTCAAAAATCTGTCATTTTTGACATCTGTCATTATCTGTCATTTTAGATTTTGTAACATACGCCCTTGTTATATTGGGCGAGCATTTTTTTTATTAGGGCAATTTTCAATTATCCAAAATATTAATTTTAATGAGCAGTTTAAATAAATTAAATGAGGGCAGTTTTCAATTATACAATTTTGTTCGAATTGATCAATTTACAATCATCCAAAATATTTATTTTAATGTGCAGTTATCAATTACCTGGTTTTAAATAAATTAAATTTTCAATAACGCAATTTTGTTGATACAATCACCCGAAACATTTGTTTTAATGTGGAGTTTTCAATTAGGCATCCGGTCAGGGCAGTTTTTGATTACCCAATTTTTTAACTACCCGAAATGTCATTTTTGAAATCTGTCATTTTTTAAATCCCTTATTTTGACATCTTTTTGACAGGTGTTCAAAAAAGGATAATTTTAGTTTCGTAATTTTTTTTATTTTAGATTTGCAAATAATACTTTTCCTGCAATGCTGCTACTACAGGAACGAGGCAGCCAAAACCGCCTTGGACAACTGTTTCACCATCAAAACTCTATGTCCGGACATTTTTGCAAACAGGGATGCCAATCACAAGGACCTGAACTTAGCTCTAAACACCACGTAAGTGGAATATAGAATTCGGAAAAATTGTACATGTTTTAATTTTGTCTTTGTATAGATTAGTAACGACAATGCCCAAAAAAACACCGGAAGGTTACTGCACTATAAAAAATATTGTGAATTTACATTAGTCCTGTACCCCAAAATACGTTAACCTTAATGCTAAATTATAATATTGTGATGTAATTTTAAAATGTTTATGGTAAATTTACATAAATTTTGAAAAAATACAATATAAATTGCATCTTTACTACCTTTCTCGTAAATAGCGCATTAATTT